ATAATTAATGTTTGGCAAATAGGTTGCTACCGGATTTTCTCGGAATCCGGAATTAAGGAGACGATCGGCCCCCGGATTTTCCCAAAATCGGGGTTTAAGCTGCCGGCCGCGCCCCCGGAATTTCCCGAACGGCCACTCCCCAAATCCGGGAGGCGGCCAATAGTGCTTGGACTCCCGGATTTTCCCGGAATCCGGAGCTAACGACACGGCCAGCCCCCTGATTTTCCCGAAATCCGGGGATTTGGGGATAATCATCATTATATATCCTCAGCATCACCAACATTCATCATGATAATTATATCTAAAAATATTTTGAATTTCTACCCAGATAATAATTATAATAACGCATTCTTAGCGTTACCAGCGATTACATCCTTAGCGCCACCAGTAATTATAATGATAATTGTGATAATGTATCTTCTGCATCACCAATGCTATTTCGGATAATAATAATAAAGATGACGATTGTTATGATAAATATTATCCATCATAGTATCCTCTGCACTACCAATGATGCCTATTGTCACATTTGAAATGTAGAGAGCAGAAGAAAGAAATGAGGATGATAATTATAATGATAATGATGAAGGTGATGATTACGATAACAATTATCATGAAGATAATAAGGATAGTGTTTCTCATGACAATTATCATCATAGTATCGTCTGCATTACTAAAACCGCCGATGACTGCCATAATAATTATCATCGTAATATCCTTTGCATTACCAATGCTACAAAAACAGAGATCATAATAATCATATAGATAATAATAATAAGGATGACGGCTACTATAATAAATATTCTTATAACATCCTTTGTATTACCAATGGTGCCTAACGCCACATTTGCAATGTACAGAGTAGAAGAAAGAGATAATGATGATAATTATGATAACGATAATGAAAACGATAATTATGATGATAATCATTATGAAGATAATAAGGATAATAATTATTATGATAATTATTATTATAGTATCCTCTACAATACTAAAGCTGCCCATGACTGGCATGATAAGTACCATCGTAGCATCGTATGCAGTACGAATGCTGTACATCATCATAACGCATCCTCAGCATCACCAATAACCATCACGACGCATCCTTAACATCCCCAGCAATCATCATGATAATCATGTCCACGCATCCTTAGCATTACCAATAATCATCACGATAATCATGTCCATGCATCTTCTGCATCTCCAATGGTGCCTAACGGGACACTTGAAACGTATAGAAGAAAGAGATGATAATAACAATCATGATAAGCATGATTATGCTGACGAGAAGAAGAGTAAGAATATGAGTGATGATGACCTTGACAGCATAATTGATGAGAGTGACGATGATCTTCACATCATGATAATGATGCTAAGAGTTATAATGACCTTCATAATAATCTAAACAGTCATCACTATGTATCCTCATCATCAGCACTCATCATGATCATCATGTCCACGCGCATCACAGCAGGATAAGTCTTATCACAACATCGTCTGCATGATCAATACTACAAGATTAAAGATCACGATAATCATATGAATAGTGATAATAAGGATAACGATTGTCATAAGACGCATCACCATAATATCCTTTGCATTACCAATGCTGCCAATTGCCACATTTGAAATGTATAGAAGAAAGGGATAATGATGACAAACATGACGACCATGCTGAAGGTGATGACTGTGATGACACTATCCATTATGAGGAGGATAAGGATGATGATTATTAGTGTAACTATTATCGTAACATCCTCGGCATTACCAATGCTGCCGACGACTGTCATAATAACTATCATCTTAGTATCCTCTACATTACTAATATTACACGATCAAAGATAATATATGGATAATTACGATTAGGATGGTGATTATTATAATAAATATCATCATAACATCCTTTGCATTACCAATTCAATATTTAAAATCATAAATTGCTAAATATTTCACTCACTATTTTAATTCATATATCAAAACATATATTTCAGTATCTACCTAGTCCGACAATCTTAATAGTATTTAGAATTAAAGAATTAATATCTTTAAAAAAACATATAAAAATTTAAATATTTTAAAATAGTTAAATTAAATTTACTTTATTTAAATATTAATTACTAAACAATATATATTGTTTATAATTAAAAAATAATATTTCTTTTAGAAACCGGTATAATCTTGGAATCGTATTTCCCATACACCATAGAGCCGCTACGGCGATACTCCGACCAAATCGTCGTGTTTATGGCGATCGACTATACCTATCCCAGTTTTTTTCCATGGCACAAGTTCCTTCCTACCTTTTAGCACAGCCCAAAAGTTCTCTAAAAGGGTTCTTCGAATCTTCGTTTAGAGCTATCGCAATCATTTTCTCGAACTTTGGCTCGCTTCCAACGACCCGACTTTCAAATCTCCAAATGTTACCCCCACAAATTTCCGTAAAATTCAACGACTTACCGAAAAAAGAAGAAGAAAAAGAACGAAATTTATCAATATTTCGGGTTTCTCCCTCTTTCCCTCTTTCCTGCTTTCCTTCTTTCCTTCTTTCCCTCTTCCCTCTTTCCCTCTTTCCCTCTTTCCCTCTTTCCCTCTCTCCCTCTTTCCTTCTTTCCCTCTTTCCCTCTCTCTCTCTCTCTCTCTCTCTCTCTCTCTCTCTCTCTCTCTCTCTCTCTCTCTCTCTCTCTCTCTCTCTCTCTCTCTCTCTCTCTCTTTCTCTCTCTCTCTGTCTCTCTGTCTCTCTGTCTCTCTATCTCTCTATCTCTCTGTTTCTCTGTCTGTCTGTCTGTCTGTCTGTCTGTTTGTCTGTGTGTTTCTGTTTGTTTGTGTGTTTCTGTCTCTTTGTTTATTTGTTTCTGTCTCTTTTCGTTTGTCTCTGTCTGTTCTTGTTTGTCTTTGTTTGTCTTTTTGTCTTTGTTTGTCTCTGTTTATCTCTTTTTGTCTTTGTATGTCTTTCTCTGTCTTTGTTTGTCTTTGTCTGTCTTTGTTTGTTTTTGTTTATCTCTATTTGTGTGTGTTTGTGTGTGTTTGTGGTTGTTTATGTTTGTTATATGTTTGTTATTTTCTATGTATTATTGTTTATTTGTTATTTTTTGCTTATTAGTATTTGTTTATTATTGTTTATTGTAATGTATATATTATTATTAGTTATTGTTTGGTTATTGTTAGTTATTTAATGTTATTTGTTTGTTATTTTTTGTCGATATATATTTATTGTTGTTGATTTATTATTATATATGTGTTATTGGTTGTTTGTAATTGTTTGTTTGTTGTTATTGAAATTTGGTGTTTCTATATTATACTTATGAATTGTTGTTTGTTTATTATTATTTATGTGTTATATACATTTTTTATTTATATATTTGCTTGTAGTTTATATATAATTTATTTATCTTTGTTTGGCTTATTTGTTTTTGTTTACTTTTGTTTGCCTTTATTTGTTTATATATTTCTATTTGTCTCTGCTTTTATTTTGCCTTTATTTTGGTTTTATTTGCCTTTATTTGCTTCTACTTGCTTCTATTTGCCTCTGGTGTGTTTGCTTTTGTTTTTTTATCTCTATTTATTTGCATTTTTGTTTTATTTTTATTTTTGCCTATTTGCTTATATGTCTTTGCTTATTTATTTCCTTGCCTCTTCTTGTTTGCTTGCTTGCCTTTACTTGCTTACTTGTCTGCTTGCCTCTGGCTGCCTACCTTATTTTATTTATGTTTGATTACTTGTTATATTTTTCTTGCTTGTGTTGCTTGCCTTGCTTGCCTTGATTGCCTTACTTGCCTTGCTTGCCTTGTTTACCTTGCTTATTTTGTTTGTTTTGTTTATTTTGTTTGCCTTATTTATCGATATATTGTTATTTGTTTACCTCTATTTATTTATTTCGGATTGTCGTCCTCTACCTATCTTTATTTGCCTTACCTCTGCTTGCCTATGCCTGCCTTACTTATCTCTACTTATCTCTATTTATATTTGTTGTTTAGCCTTGTTATGCGAATTCTTTTAGTATATATATATATATATGTATTTTAAATCTATTATTAAAATAAATAAAATAAAATATTTTAATAAGGGTTGGGATTAGAAAATATATATTTTTTTGTTATCAATATGTTTTTTCCCCATTTTATTTCTTTATTTTTATGTATTTTCTTTAAATCTATATATTGTTTTTTGTCGTTTAGTTTTCGTAAGTGTATATCTATTAATATATTTCTATTTCTCCTTTATTCATTATTCTATAATATATTCTTTCATGTTATTTCATTATTAATTCTTTCATTTATATCATTCCTCCTTTATCCTTCTTTCGTTCTTTTTTATCTTGTTTTCGTTTTTTGTACTCCCTATTCTACCCTCCCTTTCATTTTTCTTCATTTTCCCTCGTCTTTTTTATATATTCATTTATTATATGTTTAATTATTAGTTTTCTAATTTTAACCATCGTATCCCATCCTTCTTTTATTTATCTATATTCTTAAATTCTTCGTATTTTTCTACCTTTCCTCGCCCTTTTTTCGCCTCCTTTCATTTCTATAATTCTCATTATGCCTTATTAATCTCTTTTATCATTCTTTCTCACCTTCTTCATGTTCTTTTCGATTTCTCCTCCATTCCTTCTTCATTCATTCGTTTTTCCGCATCCTCTAAATTATTTGCTAAATAATTTTATTAATTTCTAAAATATTATTAATATAAATTTTATTTTATTCAAAAATATATATATATATAATATAATTATTTATATATAATTTAAGTATATTTAATTTAATATAATAAACAAATATAGTGTTTGAGTATATTAAATTATATTATAAAAATATTTTAAAAAATACAAATAAGATATTATATATATTATTTATATTTATAAAATAATATATTTATCAAATTTAAAAAACATATAAATATTAATTCTAATTTTAAATATAAACCTCAAATATCCAAAGCCAAATAGATTTCAAATTGATTAATATTCGACTTTGTAGTGTGTAGAGATGATTAATATTTTTGAATTTAGGGTCCGACTGCATTCAGTGGCTTCAAGAGGAATTTCATTGCCTGAGACAGGGCCGTTTGTGTGTTTGCAATATCTGGATTCCGAAGTCCGCAACAAGCATGAATGTCTGCTGTTTGATGGAAATATGAAATGACGCCATGTTGCGCCGGAGGATGCAGAATGGAGCCAAGGAGGCATTGGCCTGACGTCATGAGCAACTCGGTTCTCTCCTCAAGGTTGTCTTTTCTGGCCAAATGAGCGCTTGACTTGAACCGATGCATGTACACGCCGACCAGAAGCTGCACTAACTGGGTACGGACAGCGGCAAAAATATCTGAAGGAATGGTGTGGCTGTGGGACAAAAATTAGGTACCTAACATGGAACCCTGGTGAATGGAACCGAGGACTAAAACCTGCGGTCCCTAGTGGTGTTAATTTTGACCCATACCCATGTCTAATTGCAGCACTTCCGAGTCTGCCGCCCAAACAAGCACACCGCCAATGGCCTCACAGGGGCCATGACTCGGCAACATGCGACGCGGGAAGGCCCTCGTTCCGGGGGGCTGGCCAGCACTGTCAGTGTCTGATTTCCTTTGCAGTCAGAGAAGGGCTCGCCAATCGGCACTAGCGCCTTGGCTCACAAGGTAACATTCAAAAAAAAGAATCTTGCCATGATGATGCGAAAATCCGAAATAATTGGGTCAAAATCCTGTACCCCCAGTGAACATCCCAATCCCCGCTAAAATAGACTAAAATGGGTGGTAAGCCATCTGAGATAATTCTGAAGATCCCAGTCAGCGGCTGTAACCACGAGCAAAATGATGAGGAGCATCGTGATGTACGTCATCAACCTTTTTGAGGCGTGTGCTCATGGCATGCATCCAGCTACTATTGCAATTATGCTGCTTTGTGATGATTGGGAGAAACTTGCAGAAGCATCCCAGACCTTGGGCAAGAACTCTGATCTGCACTGCTTCTCAAAGTGCTTTCTCAAAGTGACCCTTCAAAGCTGGGACTCCTGCACTTCAGGCCAATGGACATTTCTGTGTAGTCATCCTTGCCGAATTGACGGCTTGGTCTCGCAAAGTTGAACCATTTCCTGGCCTCCTCTAGCTGCGCTACGGCTACGAAGCCGAGCCAAAGCAGGAAGGACACCACCCCAGTGAAGAGGTACGCACCGGCCGTCGCCAGCACCTCGTCACAACGAAGAAGATGACTGATCTTGAGTGAGTGGCATCAGTGAGTCAAAGTCAAACCAAGTAAAGTACAAAGTAATAACTCTATTAAAAGTATATAACCTTTTCAAGCTCAGCGTGGATCCAAGTCTGTGATCGTGTCTTTCCATACATTGATGTCTTGGCTTGGCACGAACAGCAGAATGTCGCAATCAGAGCAGTGCTTGCATACGCAAGATTGCGCTGCAGATGGTTTGGGCTCCTGCAAGGGACTCTCTCTCTCTCTCTCTCTCTCCATGCTGGAGCATGAATTCAACTTGCCTCTCAGCAGCAACTTCGGGGGTTTTGATATGCCCAGTCATGTCTTCACAGGTCCTGACAGGTTACTCCCGCTGGACAAGAGACGCTTCGCGTTCTTACCCCAGGAACGCACTGCCTCGGAACAATGGAGTTGCACACATGCACGTGAATGCATGCTACAGCATGACAGTCCACACGACTTTCTTGGTAAAGCTGGGGGCGGAACATGTAGCAGGTGCAGGTGGACCATGGCGTGGTCGTGTACTCCTGGAAGTCATGAAAGAGCTCACTCAACACATCTTCGCTTTTATCCGCACTCTACATCCTGCAGTGGGGGGGGAGCTGGTGTGGCGACGACTGTCTGAAGCCTTGCGCGCATCTGTCAACGTGTTTTTCTAGGCCCTGGCCCCAACAGAACAAAATAACATCTTGAGCACGTTCTGCACGCAGGCTCTGCACACACGCCAAGGCAAAGGCCTTCTCTCAGAACTGCAGAAGTTGCCTGCGGCAACAGAGCCGGCCGGCGAGGTAGAAGCCGGGCCAACTTGCACAATGTTGCTAAGACGCGAGGAAACAATGCGAAGAAAAGTCCCATCTCAGCGACATTGCACAACTCCACATGTTCAGATTGACACCTCCACACTCTCGCAGGTCATCATCCGTCTCAGATGCAAATACCTGTCCATCGCACTGGCATTCTCTTAGTATGCTGCGTTGGCGAGGTTGAATTTCGCTGCACCAGGCCTCCACTCCATCAAATCCAACTACTGCTTGAACTGGATGTGAAGGAGGCCTAGGCTATGCGACAACTCCCAGGCAAGAAACATGTCAGCCGAGAGTTGCACCGTCTGAAATGGTCAGCTTCCGCACGTTCCTGCACCTGCTCAGCAATTCTACCAAAGACTTAGGCTCGCATCTGAGAGTCTCTGCGCCACTGGTTCACATTGCAGATTCGCCGGTGCCTCTGTCAAGTTTCTTTTTCTATCTGCTGATTCATCCTGCACGGCCTGGCGACAAAGCCCAATCGGCCAATGCCTTTCTTGCGCGCAGGCTATGCTCACCTTGCCTGCCGCAAAAGCTCCAACTCCAGGCTGGGCAACGACTCTGTGTCCGTCCCATCGTCCAGGCGCCTCGAGCATGGTGCAGTCAAAAACATCGGAAAAACATGCGCTCACTTGCCTGCCACCAGCCAGTGAATCGCAGTACGCGGACTCCTTGCAATTCGATGCAAGAGAACATACAATTCTACGTCTCGGAGCATGCTGCCACACTTGTGCTTGCAACTGTTCTAGTGTCTCATCCGGATACGTTCATTGATCCCACTTGACACCCTGAGTCCAGCACATTAAAGGATGGCTCAGCACACATGCTCTGAGGTGTGAGGGTGAGGCCCTCATTCCTGAAGCGATGCGAGGGGCAGTAATGGAATATCAGGCTGACTGTATGCAATGAGTGCGATCCATTTGCAGACGTGGCTCTGACACTCCGCTGCCTGAGTTCGCTAGCTTTACAAAGCCCATACTAAAGAACCGAGAACCGGACAATGGCGGTGAGCACAGTCGAGGTCGTGTCGGTGTTGAGTTGCGTATTTGTGGTAAAGTTGCATTCCTCAGCATCCCATGATTGCAAAGGCTGCATGACCCTGAAAACGTTGAATTTAGGTGTTCTGAGTGAGTGATGCAAGCTGGGCCACATGCCATTGTCGTTGCTTCCTTTCAAACTCGCCAAAGGCTCTGGAAGTGATAATGTCGCGACAAAGGCAGTGCACATGACCTTGGGGCCAGTTTGCTGAACGAGGTTTGCCTGCATATCACGTGGACAAAATCTATGCTCGACACTTTTCTGCACGCTGACCTGATGCAATTCGCAGCAAAGCAATCCATGTGCCGGTGCGCGGCATGCAAAATATCACTTTCTTGCCAAGGCCGATGCTGGATTGGGAAATCTGTAGGGACGGGGATGTTGGCTAGAATGTAGTTTTTGTTTGCAAACCTCAGAATTGCTCGTGGGACCGCGCGGTCTACATGCAGCTTCTGGCCAATGCACTGTGCAGAAAACTGGACTGCACTTGCAGGCCCACCACAAAGCTTGATCTCTGAGCTGCTTGAGATAGCATGCACTTCCAAGCACCGCACCAGCCCATAGTTGACAAAGAGGATTCGAACACAGACTCGCAATTTGTGTCCACTGAGAATGCTCCTTGGACACAGCGGCTTGCGAATTTGGATGGAAAGGAAACCATGCCGAGTGTCCAAGTTCGATTGGATGGGCAGTTGCTGATGCCTTGGTTTCGGAATGAATACACGGGCGCGAAGATGGCCGAATCTTTGCCAAGTCACTGCCATGGAACCTGCACAGCTGGATGCGGATGGGATACGAACAGGTGAACAAATGAGGGAGTTGAACAGAGGGAAAATGGGACCAAAGAGCAGGTCTGCAAATATATGGCTATGAATTCTTGAGGGTCTGTAACGCGTGATGCGCCACGAATCTTGTTACGGAGGTCTGCAAAGGAGGTCTCTGTAACGGGAAAGCATTTCCTGACAAGTACCAGTATCAGTAGCACAATGTAGCGCAGAACAACGAAGAGCAGCAGCTACCGCTCGACAGTCGCAACTCTTCAGTACAAGCGCAGTACGGGAAAAATAGAAAAATATTATATACATTTTTACGAAAACAAAAACGTCTCTTCAGCTCCAGTTAGAAATTTGCAACTGGCAAAAGCCAAGCGATGGCAAAAAGGGGGGTCACGGGTGGTGTTGGGTCTGCAACGCGGTATGTAACGGCTACGTAACGAGGTCTGTAACGAGGCAAAGCAAAGCGCAGTACGCAAAGCGCGCCTCCGCAGCTCCAAGCTGTGGCAAAACGGGGGGTCGCTGGCCCCGGCTGGGGTGGGTCTGTAAAGAGGTATGTAACGGCTGTGTAACAAGGTATCGAGAAAAAGCAAAGCACAGTAGCAATAGCGGCCCCTGTTTCAACTTTTCATCTGAATGGCAAGCTCTCTGCAAGTTGACTCTTCAGCGAAAGCATGCTCTGCAAAAGTCTGATCTGCAGGCACTCATGGGAAATCACTGAGAGTCTGTGAGGGGCATGCAACTAGCCAAGGGATGCAACGAGGGGGTGTGTAACGAGCCAGAGTGGAGCTTGTTACGGAGGTCTGTAACGAGGGACCCCCCAAAAAAAAGTCACAGCACTGTGGAACGTTTTGGCTAGATTTGACAACTGGCCCAAGGTGATTTTATTTTATTTTAATGGTGTGTATCTTCTGAGTTAGTCTGCCACACCATCACATATGGTGGGTCTCGCCAGCTTGCAAATGAAGAAATATATTTGACTTGAACTATCCTGCTTCTTGCCAAGGGCACGCAACGCTCAGAGTCTTCAGGCAATCAGAACAGCAGATCGACGAGCCCCTATTACACAGCACGGATCTAGGATTCTCCAAAAGAACCAGCTGCCTATGCCGGGGTCGCCTTGGAAGCACGCATCCTTGTTGGACAGATGCCGCTGGTAGACCGCATTGCGCAAACCTACGCGTTGCTCTCTCAAAGATCCCGAACTTTGGTTGATGCGGTGCCTGTGGCCATCGAGCCGCAGAGCGTTCTAAACGATGTCGCCTGGCAATGCTACCCGAAAGTCTGCGTATAATACGCACCTCCGCGTACACGCATACTGAGCTGCTATCAAATGGCAGTGACTTCTCAAAAAACTCAAGATTTGGAATTGCCTGCCCTACCTTTCCACTTGCCAGGATTCCCAATTTTGGACCCCTTCCCTTTTTTGAGCCATACCCATTCGTCAAATTTTGCGCTACCTGTGCCATGGCAACCGGGATGGCATCGCAGGTGCACTCGCTGGCCTGGAGCCAAGGAAGCCAACTCTCCGGCATGTGATGCGATGTGAGTCAAAATCAGAACCGATTCGTATTAGGATAATCTACCTAGAACCATGCAAAAAAAGGGGCGACCCAACAAACTTGTGGTTGGGATTATCCCCAACTAACCTTAATCAACCCGGGTCTTGAGCAAGTGGCTCATGAACCTTTGTTTCTCACTGGCCTGCCAGGGTGACTTCACGCTCGGATTCTCATTGGTGCAGGTCCCGGGCCCTCGCGAGATACCAGTGACATGTGAGTCTCTGGCGGCGTTTCATTTGCGGCCTGTCAGATGTGACCCGAGGCTTCGCATGAAGGCCTCGGAGTTGAGAGCTCACAATCAGTCAGCCAGCTGCACAGCCCTCGAGCAACTGAGGCATCCACCCGAGCTAGAACTCTGCAGTTCCAGGTCACCTCATGTTGCGGTCACTGCTAGCCAGCAATGGGTGCTGACGTAAAACCCGCCGACCCTTTCTATGAAGGGGGGGGGGGGCACGGCAAGGGTGGGTGGCAGAGAAACTGCTGCCATTGCATCTGGCCGTGTGGTGATGCCTGGGATAGTTTGTGATAAGGTGGTCGACACCCAGCATTACCTGTTCTTTAGAAAGGAACATGTGCTTCCCACCATCATCACCATCATCATCATCATCATCATCATCATCATCATCACCACGAACCTAGTCATCACTATCAACATTATGATTATCATCATCATCATCCTCCTCGTCGTCAGCATCCATGTTGGCTCATTTCACGCTTTTAGTGTATGGATTTCAACCGAGACGTTATATAGCCCGGTGGTTCATGTGCTCTCCAGCGCTGCAGCGTATTTGGGATCTCACTCAGCGGGCCGAAGGCCGTCTTATGTGAGGAGCTACCTTCAGGACAAGGGGCCCGCCAGTGCCGACGATGCGTCAACCGGGCCGAACATGAGCGGGCGGCATGCGCCAAAATTTGCTGAAGGATCTGCGGGCGTGTCTTCTGGACGGCTTTGCCCGATGCTTGGCGACTGGTTCGCCGTCACTTATATGGGCAAAGGATTTGCAGGCTTCTGGACGACTCTTGACGAGTTTTTGGCCATCTTGCCGCAGAGGTGAATACAGAGTGTTTCTTTTGCGTCAGCGTCTAAATTATCACTTCTGCAATCATAACCTGCTGGCAACGTGCGGCCGAAGTGCACAGGATTCGCTCACCTGCGGCTTTCCTGTGTTCAGCCTTGTCAGGCCAAGCTCAAGCTGCAGAGCTAGCCCCGAGTCATCCAGCAGCCAGTCCTTCTATCGAGGATATTGCTGAGCATGCCAACCTCACCCAAACGAGATTGCATTCTTTCATTGAAAATGCCAGCCAGCTAAGGCAGCTGCAGGAGAATCCGCTGACATTGCCAGGGAATTGCAAGTTGAGTCGAGTGCTGCCTGCAAGCAAGTATGCAACCTGCAATTGCTTTATGTTCTGCAGCAGAGCCGAAGGCAACGAATATGCAGTCCTGTACAACCTATGAAAATGGCAGACCAGCCTCTTGGAATGCATCGTAGTACTGGCCGTTTGGTGTCTCAGAATCAGGAGAATCGGAGCCATGCATGCAGTAGTGTTGATGCAAGACATGCAAGACGTGCAAGACGTACAAGCCATGAACATAACAATGCGCTGACGCTGGATGCGCTTTGATCGTCCCACTTGTGGATGGCAGCCCCAAAAGGGTACCGAAGAAGCACAACTGCGGTAGAAACCACTCAAACAGTCGCTAGCTTCCAAGTGTACATGTGTGCATGGTGCCATCCACCATGCACACATGCTTGTTGCGCCCAGGTTGACGTCTGTGGTACTGTATTCAGTTCGTTTAAGGTCCAGTCTGCGGCATCCAATTGCCAGGAAAGATTGAATGCCTCAGGCATTCACACGCCCTCGAAATCACACCTCCGCTTGAGGCGCTTCACATGCGTTCATTCTGTGTCTTCCAATATCACTAGCACTAGGGGGTTGGCATGTCTCCAGCAGTCGGACTTGTCGCCTTAAGAGAGGCAAAGGCTGCACGTTCAAACAAAATGGCTGAACTCATGCACATACACGAGCAGGCAAACACAGTAAGATCAAGGCACAACATTAGCGTGTCAGAGCAGTTTCCGCATCCAACCTTAGTACAATCGTTCAAACTACACAACACTGCTCACGTGTGCCAAGGTCAAACCCACCCTCCAAGTGCGCCATGGTCCAATGGTCATGGATTAACCGATGTATCTTTGAATCCGTGTTGAAGGGTCCATGGTCAGTTCCGCTATGTAACCCCAAGTAGGTGCTCTGACCATGGCACAAACGAAGGCAAGGCACTGTCCAGCCATTGGTGATGTTCACCTGCCAAACAGCATGGAAGGTAAAACTGCAGCTGGCATCATGCCGATGCTCCACATGTCTAGACTGTTGGCACACACTTTCTGAGGATTGACCCAATCCACTGCACATCACTGCATCACTATCACTGCGAGCGCTGTTGTCGCCACTCTTTATCACCCTCCTTGCCCAGTGTATGCCCTGTTGGCCAAATCATTCATTGTGGTCCAAAGAACCTGGCTCTGGGGGGCTGTAACTGGGCTACCATGCGATTTGGCAAAATTGCGTAGGCTGCAGGGAGCTTTGCTGAATCCGCCAACATGTATTTTCAATCAGTGGTTGAAGAGCTGGAGCCGGAACTTCTGGTTTTCTTCAACTTCCTGCTCATAAGCAGCTATCGTGTTCTGCTTGGAACAACGGGTGTAGACTTGGCTTCGGGTTGCTTTGGGCATAGTTTGGCTTCGGTTTTGAGGGCTTGTCCAGAAGGGGTCACAGGCGGGCTTAAAGTGAATTTAGAGTGGTTTAGAATCATGTTGTTTAAGGGTTTAGAGTTTGTGTTAGAGCTTGGCATTGGTTTGGGCTCGGTTTAAGGAAAGCTGGGATTTGTTTGTGAGCTGGTGTAGAGGGGTCGCATGGTGGTTGTGCTGGTGGGCGGGGTTGCTCCAGAGAGCAACACTTGCCCCAGCCTCGCCGGGAATGTTGCAAAGAAACTCCTCGATGGGAGTGTACGAGATAAAGGTCCACCTAGGTAACTTGCCCAGAGATGGGCGCTCTCAAGCGCTGCATGAACCAATCGGCAAGGGCTTCCTCTCAAGCTCTGCAAATTTGGCTCAGAGAGGGGCGCTCCAAATATACTGGTTATGCCACCAATCCAAAAGAAGTAGGACCTAGGTTCCCAGTCAGCTCTTCACAGTCTCAAAGCTGTCAGCAGACAATGTGGCCCGAACACAAGGCTTGGAGTGAGCCCTGCTCGCACAGCCCTTGCGGATAGCTTTGCCGTCCTCGCAGTGATCAACGCAGGTGGCCGATTGGCCGGGCCAGAACGGCTCACGTCCTCTGCAAGAAGCCCATTATTGAAGCTGTTCCTTTGGAACTCAGCTACAAGCGTCCAGCAGGTCACGGCTAGGCGTCCATCGACAGTGCAAGCAGGTAATGTCAGTTGGCCACTAGTCTGTGGTCTGTGTGCTGCTGCCTCGTTTGCTTCATTGCGAGGTAGGCTTGCAACTGCAGCAGCATCATTTGGCATCGGTTAGTTGTCAAGTCTGACCATATGTCTTATCTACGCTCTACTCTACACTACACTGACCTGCACTTTTGGCAGGAAACGTGCTACTCCTCGAGGGCCATCAGAAGCAAGCGCTGAATAATTTGGTGTGCCTTTCTCTTTAATGCTTTTGGACACCATGGTGACACGGCAAGCCCCTCTTTTAACTCTGTAGTTCGTGCGGTCTCGGAATCTTCCTCTACAATGCGAGGCGTCCCACCACCAAAGACAGTTGAGTAGGTCAAGACGTGTGCAAGCTCCAACTCATGCATCTTTGGCCTGGCCAAAGAGCATTCACTACTGAGCTGATACACAAACCTGGCCCCTCATTTTCGGGATAAAAGGCCTTGAAGCAAGGTTGAGAGACTTCGAACAGATCGCGGAAGCAGAAACGCATCACGGCGGAAAGGTCAGCTGCCTTAGGCACTGCTGATCTTGTCCTAAGCATGCAGCATGCACACCGCCCAACCCGGTCACAACACTCAACAACTTGTATGCAAGCTGGCGGCACAAACTTTCGCTGCCTGTTCTGGGTTGTTGTGCAGGAAGCCATGACCTGAGCGCATAACGGGCAGCAGCCGAACCTTGGAATGTAACTAGGCATTGGGCCCATGGTTCTCTTGGAATGCAATAGCTCTCCGTTCACCTTGATCTCAAAATTTCCAGTAGTTCCCGGATCCTTGATTTCATTGAAGCTAACGTCCTGTGACAACGAGCCACAACGAGCCACAGCGACCGTTTCAAGAATCGGTGCAGGAGATCTTTGCTCTGAAACGTGCAGTCCTTTCCAGGGCATTTGCTTTTGATCAGGTCAATTGCAGCTTTGCTGTGCTTGCCGTATCCTCAGCCCCCGCAGTACTGAATCTCCTTAGCTGCCCAATATTCACAGCATTAGGGCCATGCATGGCAAGCAAGTGGCACAAGGGCTGCTTGAATCCAAGAATCAACGGTCACAGGCATGGCAGTTGTTGATGCAACTTAGGAGTTCCAATCTCAAGCCCCGAAAACTGAGCCAGGATGCATCATGCAGCACAGCACACATGAAAAAGGAAAGCTATTCCGTAGAGCAAAGACCCATCGCTCTGCATCTGCAATAAGTCGATTGGCTTGCTCATGAAATAGTGTTGCTTGCAACGCATGCAAATGCATCGCAGGCATGAGCACGATCGACATGATTCGCCAGCTTGCATTGCACGATCTTTCTCAATCTGGTAAGTCGCGGTTGTCGGGCCCCGGCTGGCCATCCTCAGCCACGTTGTACCTCGTTGTGCGGAAGCGAAAAAAGAGTCCCAGCACCGTCGTTTGCAAGCGCACCCGGGCGGAAGTTCCAGCTCTTGCATGTCGACCAAGGCCTAGATGCCGAATGCTTGTTGGCTGTTTTCCATAGAAAGACCGGCGGAAACAGGCGAACAATCGAATCACTAATTGGCATTCAGTCGCGCAAAACCATCTGCTGCACGGAAGCCCCCAAACCAAGCATTTCAGTGGCACAGCAAGGAGTTGAGAACAAACTTGTGGAATGGGCTTCCCGCGCACTTCATGATGCATTCTTCGTTTTTTGCTGCGTGCGGCAGTGCGGCTCATACATGTGACTGGGCGCTGAAAGTACAGTTCACAGGACGGGGACGAGCCAACAACGTTCTGCAGACGCTTCCACATCTCCCCTGCTCGCATTTGCTACTTGTGCACGTGAGATGGGAAGTTTCACACCTGAGGCATTTGCAGCAGTTTCTGGCACGTCCACCGAGGCTGCCTGGTGCAATTGTCTGATTCGATGTTGGCATCTTTTGAGACCGTCTTTAAAGGCACCCCTAGTTTTGGTACACAGCACCGCAAGACAAGATTTGTGTACCACCAGTGCGAGATTCTCAGATCCTCTCCAGGCTCTACTTGCTGTGCGTCGACGCATGCGCAATGCGCCTGCGAAGCTTCCGCAGCTGCCTGAGCGGCTAATGCGAGGCACTCCATACGTGGCTCTACTGAACAGGCCTGCTCTTCTCGCAGTTTGTCTCGAAGCTCCTTGTCCCGCCGCGCCTCAACACCAACACATTTGCATAGGCCGGCAGCTTCTGCATAGCCTGAATGATGCCCTTCTTCTTGCGGAAGAGTTTGGGACCTCTACCACGATGGTTCGTGTGGAACCTCTCGTCTCAGGTTCATGGATGCTCCCCAGCAAGCTCGGAGCGACTCAGCCCACCTGGTGATGCCCTTGTTGCGCATTTCTTGAGGCATCAAGGCAGGTCGTCGAAACACCTTCACTCCTGCATTTGCTGAAACGTGGTCTTCTTCCCGGCATCTGGAGTCAAGTGCGCGACGACCGGCCTTTCGGAACCCAAACGTCTAGTACTTTCGTGCCGTATCCGCTGATGGACACCCAGCCTAACAATGAGCGTCCATATACAACATGCCGTGGCCCTGTCGAACACTTGGGTCCCCAGCCCATGCCAGCGATGACCTTTGCAGCTGGTGCTGGATCGAAATTCTCAAAGCCACGAAATCAGACTTGTGTCGTCCCCCAGGCTTCTTCAGCCTTTCACTTTGATTGCGTAATCGGTGGAATCCCCAAAGCCCCTAAGCCCGCCGCGAGATCGTCCCACGCTCGGTCGCTGCTTCCAAAAACCTGCATGATTGTCACAATGCGGGCGGCTGGGCAAGGCAAGTTCTCCCACATCCACACCTCCACCCGGTGTCGCACAAGTGGTTGCAGCTGCTCACAATCTTCACCTTGATGCAGTCCAGTGCTGTCGAAGCTGAACATTGCGAAAGTCCAATTTTGACGGGTTGCGACTGTGCGGTGGATAGAAGAAGTCACCGGCTTTCCTCTTCATCAAGTCCTGCGAAAGGAAATTGAGAGAAACAGCTTGCTTTGGCGCTGACTGCAGTCTGAAACGAGTATTTCTCATGATTTTCCCATTCAGCTGATGTCCGTCCTCCACTTTGCATGTCTGACCTCGGCCAAAACAAACCAAAAGCATGAAGGTCGGAGAAATGCAACTACGACACTAGGACCCCCCACTCACATGCAAAGTTACACCAAGGCTGAAGAAAGAGGTCAGAAAGCTGATATTTCCCTGCAGACGTCAGTTGACTCGCTGGCCATGCCACTGTCTTGCGCACCATGCGGGCATGCATTTGCCCTGATTGCGGCACCTGCACCTGGTCGATGCGCACAAGGGCACCAGCTAGGAAGGAGCGACCTGCGTCTCATTCTGCTCGCAGGCAAATCAAGAAATAACTGACGCGGCCTGTGTGAAGTGCGTAGGAAATCGCATTGACGCGTCTTCTGGGAACGACCTGTGCTGCCCATTCAACCTTGCACCTCTGTCCGAGATTTTGTGCTGCGCTTCCGAGCGACTGAATTATCATATCTAAATGTTGCTCAGCGGCACCATACAAATCAATAGCTTCTTGCAGTCGTCCTGTCACCTGCAGGGCCAATAGAGCTGGAATGACTCAGAATGAACTGCACAAAGCCTGGTACTTCGATGGAATTCCAGGAGTGTCCACAAGGCGGAAGCCCTGCCGTACAAAGACGTTGCTGCAAATTAATGTTCAAAGCGACTGCATGCCGTGCCTTTGGCAAGCCGAAGGATATAAAGTGGAGTGTTGTGCCGGGCCTTGCAATATCATGCTGTTGTGACTGTCGTGTATGCGAGTCACACAGGCTGCACTAGGGCGGTGGCACTGGTGACCTTGTGACACCCCCCACTGCGCGCTTGTAGTGCACCGCGCCCTGGTGCCTTGAGTAAAAATCACGAGTTCAAGGCCTGGCAACTGCCACACCCGCCTGTAACCCACGTAGTGGAGGAAGCGGTTCACGAAGGTAGACTTGCCGCAGTTGACTCTTCCAACCACATACATCCATCTGGGATCCTGCCGTGCGATGCATCACAATCGCCTGTGAAGACCTGCAAGTCCTCGGGCTCCAGGTGATGCCTTCGATCGACACGCATCGTTTCAAGCATCACACGAGCGGCGCACCTCAATCGCTCTTCCAGCTGCTTAAAGCCAAGGGCGCTGTGTGAGCTGACAAGTATCTCAGTGCATAGCGTCGGCATTTACATCTCTGAACAGAACGGGTGTCTGGCAACGTCGCTAGCATGGACGTTGCGGATTTGCCGTGACATTCTTCGGACCCAAATCTTCAGCCGGTCCAGACCCTGGCGTGGGCAATCTAGCTTCATCGCAAAGGGGCAAATCGCTCCAGTCCACTATCAAAGCCACTGTTCTGCATGCTACTCATGTGTATCTATACACATCTGTATATTTTATATAATATAAATATGGTACCCTCCCCCCATCCTTGACAGAGATGTAATTATACTTGTTGAAATTATATTATAAAACGGGAGGTTTATAGATTTTAAAACGGGATGATCAATTGTGTCATCAGAGTTTAAACAGAATGCGTTGAGGAAAGAATGTTAGTATAATGTCTAAATTTAGAGAGCTTATATAGGATTTATTTAAGTTAATTGGATTGTTTACTTGGAATGTGAAAAGGAATTCCCTTTCCGGGATTGTTAAAAAACAATGACTCTAAATGGAAATTAAAAGTGACAAAACCGAATATAACTGCTAATTTTGGAGATGATCTAAATAGGATTTCCGTGTTTTTGTTTTTGTTTTTGTTTTTTTAAAGAAGATGTTTAATTGGGATTCTTGCTTATAATTACATTTAAAGAGGACGTCCTTTCCCGGGATGTGTTGTCTATTGTCGATTTACAACTGTAATGGGATTTGATAAGGACTCAGTGCTAGAATAGTTTCTACACATCAAAGATACATCATGTATATATACATATATATATATATATATATTACATACTGCGCAGTATACATACACACGCACACATGCAAACCAATTTCCGTGCTGATAGCCAAAGCCTCGACTGTGTTCAACAATTTCCTTTCCAAGCTCTGCTCAACATGTTCCCCTTGCTTCAGCAGAACTGATCCCGTTGTGTGATGAGCCAAAGGTCTTGGCGGGACAAATTACATTTCCTCATCTATGTTGAAGTGCACTTGCAGGGGCTCGGTATTCCAAAGGTCAAGTGATCGCCATCATAGTCTCTTGATATGCACTTGACCAAAAGAAGAAAGAGGAGAAGAAGTAAAGTGAATGCGTAGCGTTCCCTGAATAAGAGAACTAAGTGAAGGGAGTCATGTCAGTGCATCGAAAACGGAATGTCTGGAGTGCGTCGAACTTTGGCTTGCAAAAGAAGCACTTGCAGTAAGTAACCTATATACAGTTGGTCGCACATCCAGCCCCAGGCCCTTTAAATCCAGCCTTGGCCCATATTTTGGAAGGCAAACACATCCACATTTCAATCTTGGCGTGTGCCGTGCCTTCTCCCGGTTGCCGTGCATGGCGTCAAGCAAGCAGTCCACCTTGTTGACCACAACAATGACGGGGAACCTCAAAGAAGTTTGCACAAAGTGCAATGTGCATTGAAACACTCAATCTGAGAGCAAGGCTGCCGGTTTCTGCAAGCATCAAACAGCTCTGGCACCTTGCAAATGCATATGACACTCCTGCGATACATGGGCTCTGGGAAAGTCAGGCAGCCCACCAAGGAGCTTTCGAAGTCAAGCAAGTCGACCAGCATTAGGACCTGGGAGGAGGCAGGAATCAAAGGCAGAAAAAGACAACGAAAGTGCAGTGACAATTGGAGCAAGTAAGCACCAAACTATCGAGCGCTTGCCTGGGCAGTTTGCTTCACTTTCCCTGTGAAAGAGCAGTTGAATGCAAGGCTAAAGGGCCGCTTGCGCCAGGTCCCTGCAATCCAAGTCAACAAGGAACATGTCTCTTTGGCAGCAAGTCATGAAACTGGCATAGTGTCAGTTTCATGCCTACACCGTACAAACAGCGTATGTTGCATGAATGGCCAGCTTTTTTTCTATTCCTCGCATTTGTTCTGGACGACCTTCGCCCCATCTTTGATCACTGCGCAGTGGCCTTGTTCGACAGGCTGAGAGATCTCTGGCCAGTCTTCAGAGCACGCTTGTCAGTAGAATCCTTGTCATCCCAGGCTAGCGCGTCCTCGCACTCAGCTGCGTCCCTTGAGAGGAAGAGTGAGGGAGAGAGGGAGAGAGGGGAGAGTCCCATTCGATCCCTAGATGCCCAGAAGACACCGGATCTTTGGCCAATCCTGCAAAGCGTCCGCCCCCGTCTGATAGGACTTGGACCCATAGAGAATGGGATATGGCAGACTTCCACGTTCATGCCTCTCTATGATTTGAGAAAGAACTGCCTGAGAACGCGCGACATCTGAGCTGAATCGCAAGTAGGCAAAAACCTTTGGTATGCCAGCTGGATGAAAGCGTTTATCACCCATGAGAGCCGCACACACTGTTCGATCACCACATTCAGAACTGTTCCCAGGCAGTTTAAGCCATTCCTCAACCTCAGAGATGTCCGGCATATCCACCTTGCACCACCTCAGCACGAAGCCAGGCGACCCGGGAATAGTCAAATGTCAAAGTGTGATTTAAGGTTCGCATTATCACTACATACAGTACGACCATTGACAAAACTGCAGTGCCTTTGTGATTATCACTGTGTCCAGAAATCGACATTGTCCTACAAACGGCAAAAAACAACAAAACAAAATGTGGCTTCCAATCGAAGACTGCGGGCTGCTTGTAGGCACCAACTTTCCACAGCGCTATATTGATCAGTGACTCCACGTCCTGGACACGCTTGATCCGTATGGGCTCGAACGGGGCATCGGCAGAAAACGACTCATCGCGGAAAACTGAGCGCAGGGTCTGTGCCAGGAAAGGCAAAGCGTGAACAGTCCAGAACAGCCCAAGCTGACTCCAGCGCATGGTTTGCCGTGGGCACAGGCTTTTGGAGCAAAAGTGCGTCCAGAATGACCCTCCATCTGCAGGCTGGCGATTCAGAAAATGAACCGGCATGATTGGGTAAGGATACTGCTCTGTAATCTCCCGCTCTGCCGCAGCAAATAGCCGATCAACACCTGGAAAAACAAGAGCGTTGAACGGCACCAATATTCCAGTCTGAACACGACTGATCACAGCAGCCAACAAAAGTGTGGTGCTGTGGCCCAGTGACATTGGCAATTCTGAGATACTCAATAAAATCAGACGCGGATACACGCGCGGGCTCCAATGCATGGGCGTGGCCATGCCCGCATGGAAAAGAATAATCGGGTACACAGAAAAACGATGAACCGCCTCAATGAGCAATTCCACCGCCTGCGTCTGGGAGCCTTCAAGCGTGCCAGTGAAGAAGCTCACGAAAGCGCGTCGCGGCCAGCCAACGTCATAGAGGCGATTGTAGGTATCAGCAAACACTGGGTTCACATAGCTCTTCAGTGCTGCAGTTATCTTCTTGTAAGGAAGCGGCTTTTGCCCGGCACTGATGTCAGTCCAGTTTGGATTGCAAATTCCCTCCATTCCACGCCATAGGTGGACGCCTCCCGTGCTGTTGTCAGCCATAAAGATCCAGCAAGATGAAGCTTCGAGAGCGGATATCTTCTTGCGCTCTTCTCTGGGTATTGCAAGGAAGTTCAGGTATAAGAAAAAGGAGCTTGCCGTGTTGACTTGACATTCGCAATGCTTTGTATCATCTCCGGGATTCATGTCAAGCATTTCAGGAAAGCCCGCTTCCTTGCCCACCTTGCATTTCACCCGATTTGCAGTCTGAGCACTCGGGGGAGGGATTATCTGCCAGTGATGCTCACTGCCCCAACGTATCTGTCCGTAGCATGCACATTGCTCCCATTGCCCTGCGCAAAAAAGCCAAAGGTCCTTTGCCTCGCGTGTAAGCGACTCGTTCACATACCCAGTCAACGGAAGGGTGGCATTTGGAACTGCCACAAAAGAATCAAAGTTCACAACTGGCTTCCATTTGGGTGGAATCGGCCATGCTTGCTTTGATTCACGCAATGCTTCCTGCAGACGAACCCGGGTGCGTTGCAACCATTTCCAGTCAACAATGGACGGCTTCCCTGGCAAACCGGGGACTGATATCTCATTCAGTAGCTGACTGCAGTACAGAGACACTAGTGCAGACACCAGCATCAAGCAAATAGGCGCTTTGGACGGTGTGCAAAAACGCCATGACCGCAGCATATGTCTCAAGTCTGCGAGCACTCACTTACCTCCTCAATATGTGCTTCTTTGCTGAAGCTTTTCTGCGCCATGGCTACCACGTGCTTGATCCGCGCAGCTTAGCAGCAGGTGATTCTTGTCTTATCCTTTCATGTGCAGCTCCTATTGAATTCGATGGAAAGAAGTGCTATGCAAAGTACGCCCTAGTTTCTTTTGTAGTGTTTGTTCTATTGTGCAAGCTTCCTGGGAATTGCGATGCTGTGCATAGTGTCTGTTAAACTGTGCCGTTGTGCCGATTGTTCCTGATCTGCAGCCGAGAGTTGTGCCGGTACGCGATTTCGGCATGTTGGCAAACCAAGGTCTTTTCGGTTGTTTGTTGTTTTTCTTATTTTTTTCTGGGTGTTTTGTTTTTTTCGTGGGCATTTTGTCTCGTCCAAAACAGTATCATCCCTCCTCAGTTCCAAGCGCATGCGCCGCACAATCTTCTCAACAATCTCCGCCTTGCAAGCATGCAGGCAAACACTTTGTGCCAAAAGATTGTGTAGGCCTCGTGTTCCCAATCGCGGCCACCATCCATGCGGTAGAAGCCGCCCTTGACCGGCTTGTCCAGTCTGCAGGATTCAGGATTTGCTGTCTTCAAGGTGAAATGAGGCGTGATCGAACGCATGCCACTGGCACAAGATTTGAGTGCGGAGCCCTGCAACAACTTGGGGCATTCAAGTGGATCATTCGAACTCACGTGCGCCTGTGGTAGTTCTGCAATCGGTAGCATCGTTGGCACACCAGTAGGCGAGTCTTGTCCTGGCCCACACAGAAGTACTGCAAGAAAGTCAAAATGTATCTATGGGTTGCCATGCTGCAGTACTTGCGTGTGCCAGTCTGTGCATTGGTGCAAACTGCCGCGAGCAACGCGCACGCGCGCGCGCGCGCCAGTGGAGCCTAACAACCAAAACGCAGCGAGATTGGACAGTGCCGGACCGCGCCGGACAGCAGCTGTATAGCAGCCCGCACAGCTGGTTTTCTGATTTTCCATAAACGGCGCCGCAACTTCTCCAAATGTCAAGGGTGGCCATGCCAAGCTTGGCAAAACAGCTTCATATAGCGTCCGAAGCCTCCAATGCCTATCTTAAGGGTGGCAGCACTGCAGCTGGCAAAGCGATAAATCTGAAGAATGTGGCATCGCGGCCGGCAAGCCAAACCCTTTGCAGACTCCAACCTCCGAACGCCTTTTGTTTTGAATATGAGACAGAAACCCTGGCGAGGCAGCCGGCAAGCACATCAATATTTGTACCAAACACCTAGCAACAAATTTGACAGGTGCCTCAATAGTCGTCCCAAATTCCTGGCACGGCAACTGAAAAGCGCACCAATGGGTCATCACTCCGGCACGGCAGCTGGCAAGCACAACGCTTGGCCCAGACATGTGATGCGGCATCCGCCAACCGCATCAAGAGTCAGCCAAACTTCCCGCCATAAAAGGTCTCCCCAACACCCGGGGTGTCAAGAGTCGTGCCCAGAATTCCGGCACGTCAAGCGCATACGCGGATGCGGCCCGCACACGTAACCCCAACATTGCGCAAGGGCAAACCTCAGCACGCCCTATCCGCACTCACCAGCCCTAGCCCAGCAGCCCGGCCGCGACGAGCAGCGCGAAATGTAAGCATTACGTAAGGTGGAAAGGCAAATGCGTGCTGTCCGCACTCCGCGCTGATCTGCCCCGATTCGGAACAGCGCGGATCAGTTGCGTGAGGGAAGCCCAGCATGCCCCTGTCCGCGCGCATTCGTTCTGATCGGCGCTGATTCGGATTAGTGCGGATTGGCGTGCGTAGCCCAGATCAGCGCGCGGAACCTAAAAATACGCGTTACGTGAGGGCGCGAAAAGCTAAGCGTGCCCCTACGCCGATCTGCACTGATTGGCACTGGTTCGGAAAGCGCAGATCAGTACGAATGGCCCGAAATAAGCAATCTGCACTGATCCGCACTGATTCGGAACTGCAGTTGAAAAGGTATGCAGCAGCGTATGTTTTGTTCCCACGCACGCCAGCCAAAGGATCAGCCGTCATTCTGAGCAAGCCTGTTCTGAATCAGCGCGGTTCAGCGCGGATGGGGGCACGCTGAGCTTCTTCACCCTCACAGAATGCTTCTTTGGAGGCTGCTGCGCTGATCCTTCCACAGCAATTAACTTTAAAGCTACCCACGCGCCGTGCCAGTGGTAGCTTGCCCACCCCCCCCCCATTTTGCCAGTGATGTTTTCATGCCCCCCCCCCTTTGCCACTTGCTGCGTTGCAGCAAAAGTCTGCTTGAGCCTCAAAACGGTCTAGGAAAGCCAAGCATTCTTCGGGATACACAAATAGTATGATGTGTATATTCCTTACGAGATGATTGGACCGACCTGGTAGCATTCCACGAGACATCCCAAGTTGCCAGAAGGAATTGAAACCTGTATCTCTCTCCTTGTACTTGACCGAAGAGTCACGCATTACCTGCGCGTCGCAGTATTGAAGCTGCCAGCTGACATCTGAGTGGTAAGCTGTCATTGGAGTGCAACACATGCTTTGTGCAGGCCTCCACACCAAGAGGGACTGATTCCACAGGCACACCTTTGGGAGTACGATGATCTTTCCTCCGGCCTTACTCCGACATTGCAGCAATGGCTTGAATTTGTTTGCACTCGTGTTACAATGTTTCCTTGTGCCCTGTCTTTCTCAAGGTAATGTCAGGGTACATGGTTCCATCCTGGATGGAGGGTGGTTGTATCCAAATTTCGGACCAAGCCCCCAGCCCGTCAATGAGAACTGTTCCCTGGCTTCTTCTGGCACCTGTAGAGGCGAGCCGCGCCACATGCCATCATCGATCTTGCAAGTGCAGGGAATAAATCTGATGCCAGAATGTGAAAGCAGGGCTTTCGCATCGTCAAGGAGTCGGTTTAAGCTGCATACAACGCACAAGCAACATGCACGGGCAAGCTTCTCAGATGTCTGCAGTCAGCAAGAGAAGCAGAGATAGAGTGATTGAGCAAAGCAGACCTTGAAATGGTGTGCAGCCTCCCTAGCGTGATGGCCAGCTTAGACTAGATTGCTTTGCCAAAACAAGCCGTCAGTTCTGACGCAAGGACAGCAATTTGAAGTTCTTATGATGTCAACACAATCACCCACAAGCAACACAGCAGCCAAGGCATGCTGCTTTTCCAAATTGCCACAACATATCTTGGGTATGATGTGACCTGTTGGACATGCCAGCTCTATGAGCTGGAGCAGAGCTGAGGCAAGCACGTAACCCTGCTCTTCGGGATCCTTGAACGAAACTCCCTCTCCCAAGCACGCTGAACTCTGCCTGTGCTCCTGGCGTTGGAGTGCAGCCAAGCGCCACATCCGTTGCAGCGGCGAGCCACCGGGACACCCCCTACATGGCGCTCTTGGCGCTTTGGGCGCTTTTTCAATCAGGTCTTTCTCCGTGAATCGCCTCCGCCACGAGCCGCTCGCAGCAGCTCCTGTGGGCTTCGCACGCCTGTCTTTTGTGTTTTTTTTTGGTTTTTTTCTCGGTGCCGCCCACATGCACGTTTCTTGCTCAGCCATCTCAACAAACCGTGTCCTCCATGCCAGCCTCCGTTGACACATCTCCTAAAGACTCCAAGCTCTCGAGTTTGATCCCCTTGAGGCACAAGCCTACCGGCGGCGCGCCAGCAGGCAACTTCACCTCAAACGTCTCCTGACATGTTCAACCCCCAAGGCTGAGTCATCAAGTCAAGTCAAGTCTCCAGCCTCAGAGTGTTCTCTGTCACTCTTTGTTGACCTCGTGGTGTGGGTCCCTGTACTCAGCCCTTTGCGAGATTTGTCCGAGCAAGCTTTCTGCCTTGGATCCAGGCAGCCGTCGGGAAGGAAACGATGGTATGTGAGGTATCGCCGCATGACCTGCAAGCATCCCATTTGCAAGCAGTTACCACGTGCAGCCAGCCTCTGCAAGATCTTGAGCAAAAAAGACCTGCATCGGTCAATCCGACAGCCCTGCAGCTGACCATGCAAGGAGTGTACACCCCCCCCCCAAAAAAGAAAAAGAAAAAGCTCGAACGGTGGACAGAAATGTTAATGTGTGTTCACAGTCCAACAAGGGGCAAAGCTACGTTCAGATGTTGTGCAACTCAAACGGAAGTCAAAAGCATTCTCTATCTTTCAAGCCGAAGAGCTGTCACGATTACCAAGACCCAGCGCAGGTCCAGCAGGTCGTCGCCTGAGTTGCAGCGAGTTGGGCTCAGCATCCAGATGCAATGACTGTGCAGCGGACAGCCAGGTCAAACAGGCCTGGTTAGAGCAGTGCCCAACTGACACCACTCACAAGCCTAACGAACGCCTGCAAACTGCCATGGCGGCGCATGCTCAGAATGGTACCAACAAGAAATATCGATGCTTGCACACTACAGTTGACAACTGAAAAAGCTTCTCCTCCTAAGAGCAAGTCAAATATCGTCAAGAAAACGGTTCCACGAGTATGGCTTAACTGAGACAGGTAACTTGGTTTCAGGTCTGTCATACTATCTTGCACTTTCAGCTTGGTGCCAGAAAGCTGGCCGGATCTGCAAATGTCAAATGCGTGCAGTCAATTTCCATGATGCAAAAAAACGTTTTGAGGCACAAAGCCGTGCACACACTGGGCCACAGCCACTACTGCCTGTACAGGCTTGTGTTGCAAGCTCTGCGCTAATCTGGTGCCAACTCAGACAGGGTCGCCAATCACGATGCGCACCTTGCGTAGGATCCGCAGGAGAAACCGGAGTAATCACAATTCCTCCGGGCCTTGAGGTGCTTCGGAATTGGCAAGTCGTCGCGGCAAAGCTGCGATGGGTCGCGATGTCATGACATCTCGCTTCAATGTTCTGGCCTGCTCTGCTAACATGGGCAGCACATGGCGAGCTCCGCCAGACTCGGCCTGCAACTCGGCACAGCTGACTCACTATAAATTGACATTCTCTGACCCGGTAAACTACATCAAAGTTTCCTCAACTTCACCAGCCGGCTCCTACAACAAATGTGATTGATAAATCTCTGCCATGCAGCAATTTTCAGACCAAAACTGATGCCCAAGATGCGAATCCTGATACCCCAAATTGGTGGCGCCAAACAATGGAGGGAATATCAGACCTGCGTTTCTGGGTCAGAGTTTGCCCCCTTTCTGATATCTGGAAGCCAAAATGTCTCGGCAAATGTTCTACAAGCGCAAACCAGGATCATGTCCACCGACCGGTAAGGGGGGTTGCGGGGGAAGGGTTGGTCACTGTCCCTATCATCATCGTTGTCATTGTCATTATCGTCATCGTGTTGTTCAAAGACTGTTCCCATTTGCAAAGTCTGTTCAGGACTGCCTGTGGCTTGCTACATGACTATAAGTGTGTTACTCTGCTACCTCCCAGAAAATCACCGCGAGCCTCGAGCAAAAGAGTTTCTCGCACCGGCTCCAGGTCATTCAGATCAGAAGCCACAACCTGACAAGGGGTCCAAATGTGACACGAGTTCCAGAATTTCAAGGATCAAACCTTGAAGGCGAATTCCAAGCCGTCCCAAGTCGTTGGATCAGCATAGGCTCCGAAAAAGCTACCTGGCTCGCTTCCACGCAGAGACTAACAAGCAGTCGCCGCCCGCCTTCCAAAGATGGAAAGGCATATGTCGGCGCGCTGGGCTTGCATCTAGTACACACCAATTCTACATCTTGAACCTTGGTCAAAGCGGGGCTTGGCTTGCTCCCTTTCTTGACCCTCCCATTTCGTGCACCAAGCCCATTGCCTCGCCCACCAATTGGAGCAGCACGCCGCGAAGAACTTCCTTCCAAGCTTCCACGGAACTCACGTCGTCAGATGTGGAGCTCATGGTCCCAGTTAAATGTTTGCGGAGCTGATCTTGGGTCTTTCTCCAATACACTTGCTGCACTCACATCATTCGACTTCGGAGCTGAGAATGACATCAGTCTCCTGAACGATGAGGCAGATTCATTAACATCGCACAGTGTTCATACTCCTGCATGAACTTCCTGTGAGACAAGCGAGGACTACTCATCCCCAAACCGCAGCTCGAGCGGTCTCTGTCTCAGAAGGTCTGTGACTTGCTTCTCGCTCATCATGGCCATATCCAAGCCTCACTCTGACGTGGGTAGGAAGTGTTATTTTCATAAAACCGACACAGCAAACGTTTTCCCCTACTATATACCCTTGCTAGATTGTAGAAACACGAGTTGCAGGACCAAACAGGTTGTGCTTCGTGTCACAAGCACACCTCATATGATATCAGTTGATCATCAAAACATATCATGCCTGCTTGCCTCCTGTCAGTGTCGTGCCTGCCTATGTCCTGTGAAAAGCATTTCTGTGTCTGTGCGAAGCTGCCTACATCTAAGCCGATCCGCAGTACAAAACTAGACGTTTGCACTCTCAGGAGTCTTGCGGAAGTGAGCGTGATAGACACGTAAGCAGGAGGATGTCCTATCTGTCAAAAAGAGACGCGAGAAACACAAATATGTCCCCTGATAAGAGTGTGTTCTGCACCAACCAAAGTGTTTGCTTCCGAGCAATCCTTGCGGTTGCGGAACAGAATGGCCTTCAAAGGAAGTCGTGGTCCGCTTTGCAAACACGGCATCTTGTATCTTTGCTGTCTCTTGCTTGGAAGGATAGTGGCAGATACAGGAGAAATCATGCTGAACATCTGTGTTGGTGCGTTTGTGGGCCTTATAGCAAGGAGATGAAGAGAAAACGAGTTTCGTGCTGCGAAGTCTATTCCTCCGAGCAAGAATCCTGTGCATGTGGGGGTGTCCTGTCCTGTGCTTTTTGCACCATCAGGCCGTAAGAAAACACTTTGAATCGAGAAGACAAAGCAAACATATGGCTAGGAATGGTGTCAGGAATGAGAAAGGCACGGCAGTAGTGGACAACATGCGTTGAGGCAAGAAGTTGCAAACAAATGAGATGAGACGGAATATATAGACATCCGTCACAACTGAAGTCATAACACCTTGCCTCAGGCAACGGGAATAACTCACAATGAAGACAAGCAAAAAAACAGACGCCAGTTCCCAAGTCCCGCAGGCGCCAATCTTTCAGGCCCCCTGCCATTGACTCTGAGCAAGCAGTCGCCCACCTCGGCTGAGATGAAGCCGCGCCGAAAGAATGAGATTCACGGCCTTCGCCATGCGGCCAACCATTGAGCTGGGGGATGTGGAAGTTATCCTCGGGGCTCTACCGTCCCCCACATACCTGGCGCGGGTGTGCCAAATCTCTTGGCATGCACTGCGCTCTCGCTCGCCTCCACTGAAAGCCCAAGTCACCTTGGCCTTCTGGAAGCCTCACGTCCTTCTTCACCTCGGGCCAAAGAAATTTGGCGCCCGTTCTGACTTCATCCATGTGCGGAGCGCCTTGGCAATCAATGCTTTGCCTTGCCACATTCGACCTCGGCCTGCGAGCTCTCGCATGAACAGCCAAGATTGGAAGCATAGCTAGCCTCCTCCGCCTCCTCCGCCTCCTCCATTCCATTTCCCTCCGCCTTTGCCATTGTTCCATCCTCCTCTAAGTTGCATGGTAACAAGTGCAGCTCACGCAAGTGCGGTTGCTTTCCGTCCTTTCCAGCCACGCCCTCCCTTAGAGTCCTTGGAGGCTCGCTCAGAGCGCACACGTGCTCCCTTCTTTTCGAAGACAATGGTAAAACACAGCAACGACAGCAACGCGATTCCTGCCTGCTGAGAGTTCCAATCAGGCTGGCCTCGCAAAGCAAGCTCACTAAGCCACAAGAGTCGCATTACTGTTGACAATGCACAGCTTCCCTTCTAAGAGAGGTGCGTGGTTTACTGGGTGGAGCTGCCTCAACAGGTAAGCTGTGAGCTGTGTCGCGCAAACGAATTGCAACTTCTCCATGCCGAATCAAAAGCATCCAAACAAGCAAAGCAGCAAAGCCTTCATTGTGACTCCCACGACAGAAGCGCCAGACCTCAGCAAGGCAAACACAAAGGACGCCAAGGCGGGTGACATCCCGGACCGCCGGAAACAGAACAGCAAAGAGTGTGAAAAGGAATCAAGGACCTCACATTTGCTGTCAGCACATGCGAAATCGAGGCAAAGACGCATGATGCAAAGCACACATACAGAGCTTTATATGTATGTATATTATGTCTATATGCATTTATATGACTCCTGTAAGTCTACCTGAATCCCCTGTCCACCATGGAAGGCTTTGCGCAAGATCTCTTGGTGGGATTTACACAAGCGGTGAGGCATGGTGAGGCACAGCATCTCTGACCTCTATGAAGGTGCTGCACAGGAACTCTTCTTTATAAGGAATCTCCAGTGAAGGTCCTGCGCAAGTTGTTTAGAGGTACTCCTGCTCTCAGGATCTATCTGTGAAAGGTCTTGCTCAAGGTTTTGCGATTAGCTTTGAGCCCAATGTCTCTTTAGATCTTTACAGGATCTCTGTACAAGATCGTTTTGAGGATATTGACAAGATCTCTGCAAAAGATCTCCTAAAAAGACCTTCACAAGATCTAGATCCCTGCGCCAAGATCTCTGACTTGGCTGTCCGAACTTCCTTCCGTGCGAGTGCGAGATCTGTTGAGAGGATCTTTACAAAAGATCATGAGATTGCTTTAGAAGATCCTCGCAGGAACTCTGTACAAGCCTCCCTCTCAGGATCTTGGCAGGATCCTCTTTACAACAATTTCTTTTCGTAGGATCCCTACAAGCGGAGCTCTGCAGAAGGTCCTGTGGAGGCCCGTTACAAGATCTCTTGAAAGTATTTCTGTACCGAATCCCGGCGAAGGGCCCTTGGAAGCAACTCAGAGTTTTGCGAGCGAATTCAAAACGAGTACGCCACAGCGACGAACACTTGGAGGCCAACGGCGACAGCCAAGGTCCGCAAAGGGCTCGTGTTTGATGTTCAACAAATCACCACGACACGCCACGGCGATAGCAATCCAAGACAGCCAGAGCGCGGTGTAAGGGATCGCTTTGTGTCTTTGAACTTCACACCACGCCACAGCGGGAGCAATTCAACGCAGCCAGGAGCTTTAGTGTTCAAGACTTGCAGTGCGCCAGCTCGGGTGGAAAGGTCGGGCGCCAGGCAAAACCTTGATCTAACACTGCCCTACTGCAACTGTAAGAACCCTTCAGTGTGCAAAACTGCTTGGAAAAGAAGATGCACATGCCGAGGGGGATAGTAGCTGACGGCGTACAAAAATCCGCAACTCCAGCACTAAAGCTGCTGGGATCAGGGCGTGTCGACTTCTGGAGCAAGTGATCCAGCCTGTCCACCAGTCGCTCGGCTGGAGACTATGCAAATGCTCAGTGCACCTTCGGTGCCAAAATGCCCTGCGTTGAAGAATACGGCCCCGTCCACGGCTGACTGAAGCCGAACTGCTCCAGATTTGCCAGGCCCTAGCAGGTGCTAAGGAGAGGTGCCGCAGGCAGTCACTGACGTCACCGCGCCTTGGCAGGCTGGTTCAGGAAGTATGGCAGCTGCACCTTGCGACTCACAATCTGCATGTGGACATGGGTCAAAAGCCCGTACCCCCAGTGAACATCCCAAGCCCCACTAAAATAGACTAAAATGGGTGGTGCACCTACCCCCAAATGGGTACCATTGATTTTGACCCAGGGCCATGTATGTCCAGATCTGACGCATCACTCTTGGCCACGCGCGTGCACCCCAGAATAATGGTCGCAGTTGTCTCTGCTGCAAAGGCCATCCCTGAAGTGGGGAGCAAGGGGTGCAAGGGGTGCAAAGGGTGCCAGCATGCAAGGGGGCAAGGGGGGTCAAGGGGGGCGCAACGGGGGGAGGGGCAAAGGTAGCAAGGGGGAACAAACGCAGGTGATGCAAGGCTCGGGCTGCATGAGGCACACGTGGAAGCCCTCATCATTTGCCTCTGCGATGACCTGTGCTCGCAAGAGTGAAATCAGGACCACACCTCGACGAACAAATCGCAAAGTGCGAGGCCTTCTGCGGATTTCCCAAGGAGTTCACCTGCCGGTGACCGAAATTGTTTGAACCTTCCTTGGCCCTCACACCTCCAGTCGCAGCCAAAGAGGCAAGCGGGTCGTCAGGCGAGGATAATGTCCGCACTGCGCGGCCTCCATGCCAAATTGTGACTGCTACAAATGCCACTCTTAACGTCTGCCATGAATGTTGCGGCAAAGGAGTGTCTTGGACTCATGCCGCACGGATCAGGCGGAAAGCCCCTTTGTCGGAGATCTGGCAAGAGACTGCATGGATCTCTGCTACTGCCCGCATCTGCTTGCCAGCCAACATAATGCAGTGTCTTGATCAAGCTGCGGACGCTGTTGTGAGAGATGTGGATGCCATGCATGGGAAATGCCTTGGCAAGCAACGAATGACTTTGATTTGCTCAGCTTGGCTGATCTTGCCTCTGGCTGGGTGTAAAGGTACTCAACCAGGGTATCAACAAAGGAATCCTGAGCATCAGCAATCCGAGTCAGCACTCACAGGCGAGCTCTGTGCAACTAAGCAGCGTCAATTGAATTTCGGTACGCCTTCAACACCACACATGGCACACGATGGTCTCTCAATACCTGATCAAGATGTTTGTCAAGTGTCAGTCTGACAGTTTACAAGTTTGGACAAGGCCTGAAATAGCTTGTCCAGGCCATCAGTGCCAATTTCGTTGTCAGATAGGTCCTGAGTCGATGCTCTCAAGATGGCTCGGCTTGAAATCAAAACCTTTGTCAGAGTATCATACCTTACCAACCAACAATATTTGCTGCACCCACATGACACTGAACCTTAGCTTCCGGCCACGTAGGCACCACTTTTCTTCACATAAGGAAAGTGCTGCACCTGTGCACAAAAACGACGCCTCAATTTTCTTGCACAAGATCAAGGGGCGGACCACAAGCGGCATCTGCTCATCTAGCCAATCACAAAATCGCAGCCTTGAGCTCCACAGCTTGGCGCTGTGCAGTGTACTCAAAATTGTGTTTTCTGTGTGTTCCAACACCCAAACCTCTCAAACCTGCTTATAACACATGGTGCAAGCACTGCTGTTGCCAAGGCCAAGGCAAAGCAGCATTGCCCATGGGAGGCTTGCGTCGCTGCAACTCTATGTGAACCTTCAAATGCAAACGCGGCAACCTTTTGCCTGACCACCATGTCCTCTCGCTCCCTGATGTGTTCTCTGTCTCTCCCTCGCCTGGCCCTGCTTCACAACAACACAACGCTCATCCCAAGACAGCACCTGGCCAGGCCAGGCTTCCAGTGCCCAAGGAATTGGCGAAAATTGCTGCCTGGTCGGCGCCTAAATCCTTGGCGCCACAAAACCCAGCCCCCGCGACTTGATGCACTCTGAGCTTGCGTCCTCGGGGTATGCATCCGCTTCCGGCACCTCGGGATCAGAACCCTTCACGGGCAAAGAAAGCAAAGAAAGCAAAGAAAGCAAAGAAAGCAGCCATACAAATCATAGATGATATGAGCGGCAGATTCCGTGGCATATGCCATGGTGTCCACCGGATTCGCATCTGGCTCCTTCTCCTCGGACAGCCAGCTTGGTGCCCAAGGCTTCGATGCCTGATACCAAGTTGTGTGCTGCATGCATCAAGTCACACACGGAAAATGTGCACGGCATGTGCCTGCCTCTCCCTCAGGAGCTGGTGGCACGTGCAAAACTTCTGCAAGTTGCTTCAGCGGCAATGCTGACATGGTAAGCTTTGCTTTGGGCTTTGGAGTTGCCGCCACGGACATAAACTCCGGGAAGGCATCGGGAGCTGTGTTGGCAGTTTTTGGCACTTTGGTGGGCCGCTGGCTCGGCACTGGCTTCTCAGATGATCTCTTGCTCTCCTGACCTTCCACTGCCTGGCAGGCAGAAAGCTACTTCAAAATCGAACGCATCATTGCCAGGAGCACAGGAGTCACTTCATCTGGTGCAGCAGTTGCCTGTACCTGGCAAAAACTGTACATCGATATGTGCGCAAACGATCCACCTCATTCAGACATCGTGTCGTTGCATGCCTAGAAGCTCTAGCATGCGACGAATGTCTAACCTGCTAGAGTTTGCGCCTCCTCTTCGTCGAGCAGCTGATATGGATCGGACCTTGCGGGGAAATGAGATGCAGTTGGAATGGTGGTATCCTGAACCAAGGACTCCCGCTCCCCAAAATGGCACGAGAAGGAAATCGGGTGGGCCCAGGAGTCTATCAAGTCGCCATTCAATCAAAAGCTGGCATTGAAATGGCCTACCCAAATCCATGTAAGAAAAACAAAAGGAAAAGACCGCAACTATGTCTGGCTGGGATTATCCCGTACTGACCGTCACCTACCCGGGTTTTGATTGTGGCTCAATTGCTCATCTCAGCCCCCAGCAGAATCAATTTTGTTGAACAAGTTTAGTGGCCTTGTACTAAAGGTTGATGTCCTTCCAGCACAAACTGAATCAAACAGACCCAGACAAATGCATGAGTGCTCTCACTCTATGTCGTATTTTGGGAAATGCTTCCAGCAGGGAAACAAAGCGTGTCTGCTGTCCAAACAGGTTCAGTTCTCAAGAACGAATGTGCAGCGCGCGTTCTTTCTGATACTATAAGTGACAAGAACCTCGGACCTAGGGTCCAAAAACCAACTTGTGCTAGGACAGTTGGAGAAAAATACTGGAAATGCGTCCCATCGAGCTCTTTCTGCACGCGGGGAGAAAAAGAAGAAAAAAAAGAAGGGCATGGCTCTTCGCGATCACCCCTCAAACATCATGCTGAGTCCTTGGCGCTAGCTGGTAGGGATCATCCGCAACGGCGTCCTGCGGCTCGAGTAAGCAACCAGCGATATGGGTCAAAAATGGGTACCCAAAATGGAACCCTGGTAAATGGAACCCAGGATTAAAACCTGGGGTCCCCTGGTGGTTTAGTTTTGATCCACACCCATGTGCGGCAGTAAGTTGCGATGACAAACTTGACACGAGTCCGCTCTTCTGCTTGGCATTTTCTTCACTGAGGCCTCATCCAACGGGCTGCATTAAAATAGATAAATAAAACGGGCAGCACTGGGTATTGGTATTGGGCGGGACAGTGCACCAGATTAAAATGTGTCCGTTGCACTCTCCGGGTGTTGCTGTCGCGAGAGGCCGGTATTGCAGAATGCACCAAATTGCTAAGATCTGGATTAGTTTCTATTACTGGCTTTGGAGAGATTTGCTCTCTGTGTTGCATCTGGATCAGAATGTTGCGCTCTTGGCACATTCGACAAAGAAAAAACGGGTTCAAGCCACACTCTCCAGGGCCAGACGAATAGCTGTTCGCGGTCGATCGTTGGCGTTAGCAGTTGCAGTGTGAAGCGCCCGCGGGTCCCAAATGGTGAGATCGCCAGAACTCCCAAACAGCTCATGCGCTGATAGCGGAGCTTTTGGGTTTCGGCCCATGTCTTCTGTCTGATCTGGACTTGCAGAGAATAGCGCCCGACAAAAGCTGTCATCCTCCGCAAGCACAGTCTTCAGGTCCGATCCTCCCAGAGGGAAGGTTCGGTTGTACAGTTTGGCCTGCCGGACGGAGTCCGAAAGGATCATGGTAGCACCGCCTTTTGGTGCCACATCATCCAAGAGTGCGAAAACAAGGTAGTTCTCCGGCTCGTCCTGCAATGGTTGCAGCTCCTCGTCCGTGTGCCAAGAAGTCGGTGGCCTCCAATCCAAACCTGGACAGCTCACCAGCACGGTTGCCACCTGCTCTTTGCACCTCCAGCGACCTCCGAAGGTCTCCCCGCACGCCCGGTCAATCCGAGCCACCATGGACTGCCACGCTCTGGAGGTCACCAACGCAGGGAACGCCGGCTTGTAGGAGCGCTTGCCCTCTCTCTGCCCCATTTCTCTCCAGGTGCTGGGATCACAGAGCGAGATGCCATAGTGCCGGGGCCAATAGTTCCAGATTGTGTCGTGGAGGGCCTGCGCGTCGGCTTTGTCGAAGGACCCGCATCTCAGGTAGCCTTGGCGTTCCAGAACCTCCTGAAGAGTCTCCACTCGCGGCGGGGCAATGCAAAGCCGCTGCAAAGCAAAGGTCCAAAGAGTCGGAACTCTCCCGTGAAAAGCGATTGCCAGCAACAGACCAGCCGCAAACAATCGCCGACGGCCAGCCATGACACCGTCAAAGCTGGGTCATGGCCTTTCAGTCTACACTGAGTGCATCCAAAATGAACTCCGGAAAAGACCGCTGCATGAGCCAGAGCTAACGCTGCAGGCAAAGAGTCGGTGTTCATGTCATTCACCTTGTGCAAGCCTCGGCCAAAGCACTTGACGTCCCCCTAAATAAGTGATGACTACACCATGCTTTGCAAACAGCTTCACGAGTGATGCTTGTCATGTTCGCTTCATTCTGCGGCTAGCCAGCCTCGACAGGAGAATCCTGGCACTGGAAAAGATCATGGAATGCTCACATAATGTATCCATCACTTGGCCGCAAGTCCTCTTCGCCTGCACCAGCAGGAGCAGGCTCTTCCCCTGGACCAGCCGTAGCCGGCTCTTCCCCCAGACCAGCAGCCGCAGTTGCGTACCTAAAACAACAACTTGCGAGCGAGCTGTAGGATGTAGGTGTGTGCTGTGTTCAACGTTGCCACCAATCAAGTGCCCTACCATTGCATGCCATCGTCATCTCCATAATCGCTGACCTCATCATCAGCCTTGCCCGCCTTGCACACAAGCAAATATTCCTTAAGTCCTGTCTGCTTGAAGCCCTGCCTCTCCCTCGGGTGCTGCAGCCATGAGCAACCTTCCCACAAAGTATTTGGATCAGAATATGCCAGTAGGACAACTGAGTCACAATCAAAACCCGGGTTATTGGAGGGCAAGGGACAACCCCAACCATAAATGGCTGCGGATATCCGCCTTCTTAACTCTTTACATGGTTTTGGGTAAACAATGTTGATACCGGGTTTTGATTGTGACTAAGCCAAGTTCACACAAATATTCGCCTGCAAAGTGATGGACATTCACGAAGAGCTCATGGGGCAAGGTGCCGACTTTCCACACGCACACGCACCCACGTTCACTGCTAATCTGCCCGTGGCAAACTCCGATATCCATGTGTAGTGCATGGCGTTTTTGGTCACGCTGGACTTTGTGTGACTCTTGATCTGCATGGTTGAGTTGCGTGTCATGAGCAGTCCGATGAGCGGTCAGGGATTGTTGCAAAGACGGACAAATACTCCAAGTCAGGAAACTGCTTCAAACAAATGCTCATGTCCTTGCTGAAGAGCTTTTGAGGTCATCAAAAAAATGAGCAGCTGCGTTAAAGGCTTTGGCTGCATCAAATGGCAGTTCAAATCTCTCTCCGTCTCGCTCGCTCTGTCAAAAACGCAACTGGCATGCCTGCAGTTCCTGTGCATTCATCATCACATCTCCTTCCACCTGCGAAGGGCTTTAGAACTCGGGCTCTGGTCAGGTCCTATACTCGTTCATTTTGAATGTTCCAGGAAAGCTTCTGTGTGCTTCAGGCAATTGGTCTCTCGCAAAGCACTCGCTCTTTTGAGGCAACTGACTGCTCTAGGGGCGCCAACCGAAGAACTTCCATCCTCATTTTGAAGCTCCAAACCCAGCTCA